AAATACTTTCACATATTTTCACTTTTACCTGTAGGGAATATGGCTGGATTCCTCAACAAGCGCATTGATAACACGCCCAAGTGTGAGCAAGCTTTTATTTATCCCTCCAGCTTCCCTTGATCTGCCCTGCATAGCATAACCCCAAGGTACATTTCTCAGTTTCTGCCACACCCTGAAACTCATAAAAATCACATATTTTTTCCTGAAAAACACACAAATTTACAGTTTTCACGCACCTCTACAGAACCTGATCTCAAAACATTCACTGAACCAGCTAAATCCACAAGATTGAGCTTTCCAGTTTTGATCACTTCTTCTCCCTCTCGAGTAAACTCTTTTATATGAACTGTGATTGAAAATATGGAGTGAGAACGATTGCTTTGCTGGTTTAGTAGAGTTTCAATGGCGTTCCGTCTTGCACTAGCTCTATCCATTATCTTGTATATTTCATCAGCAGAACGAACTAACTTCTCTTCCATTCCTCTAACAATAATGCTTCCTTTTCCATCTTCCACGAGAGCTATCGGTTTCTTCAACTTATAATTTGTGAATTCCCACTCATCTGGAGCCAGAAGATCTATTATTTCCTCATTATGAATCTCCAGAAAAGAAACTTTCATGGCGTATTCTGTGAACTGTGCTTCCAGTTCTTCAAAAATTTGCTGAACTGACCTTGGGATTACACCCGCTTCACTGGAGAACTCTCCACTCTTGAAGAAAAAGTAATGTAAAATAAACAGAAGATAATTAATTCATGAAATACTAGATATAATCATTGAAGAAACGAAGAAGTGGTGAAAAAAATTATTAAAAAAATGCCTTGGCTCTCCTCCCTCCTTCCATGGTGTAAGTCTTTCCTGTACCCGTCTGCCCGTAGGCGAAAACTGTGCAGTTAAAGCCTCGGAGCACATCGCTAACAGCAGGAGAGATAGACTGAGAGAATAAATCCATTTGCTTGGAATTTGGGCCAAAAACCTACTCGAAATCATAAAAACCAAGAACATACTTTAGGCTCAAATTGAATACAAATAAACGGTGATTTACATACATATCACTCAATTCC